CTGTGGTCGTGAATCACAAACAACATTGACTCTGTTGCAAATCAAAAGAAATATACAGTGTTGCATAATAATAAACGGGATAGATATATCAATATATTGCATGATGGACCCTTGCTGAAACTACAAAGATAATTATTTCTTTCGCAAGAATGACAAGTGTTGAATTACACAATCATAACGGTTAACGACTTAATGGTGTTGCGAGCTTTACGCAATAATGATTAACGGAAAATTGGTGCTTTTTTCGGTTGTAATATTTGCATCACTGGAGTAAAACCTTCATATTCGTAAAGCATATAATTTGAACGTAAATGTCATCAGTAAATGTCTGGTTTTCGATTGAAATATTTACTTATTTTCATACATGGAAACAAACCTTATCAGTAAACTAAAGTAAGAAATAAAGACAGCCCAAATCCAAACACGACTGCTTTTTCAAGTGTGTAGTTTGTTTACCATAAAAAAGTCATTGACTGCGAGAAATTACACCGTGATTTCGAATTCGCTGTTTGAATATAATCTTGATATCATTACACAAACTAAATTTAGGTTATAATTTACTTTTTAATATAACAGAACAGCTTAATTCATCAGTACATTACACGGGGTATATAGCAAGCATGCATGGAGATTATCGTCTGTCAGTTTCTATGATTTTTCCCATCGCTGCGCTGTGGACTCGGCTTTAAGCCTTAAGTCGTCCAAACTGTCCCTAGTTGTTAATATCGTATCGGGTATTGCATGATATGCGCCTGGTACCGGGTATCCCGATATCATTGGCAACCCCGGACGAAAGTACCCGGGTGGTATGTTCGTAGTACTAATGTAGGCCAAAGTTCCGTACCGGGGAAAAGTAAAATGTTCATACCGCTGCTCATAAGCTGGACCGTGGTAGGATAGATGCGAGTATGCAGGAGATGTTGGGGTTAATAGAGGTTTTCCTGGGGGTATAGTAGGACTCTCACGGCCCATCGCCTTCTCTCTCTTGCGCCATTTTGCTCTACGGTTTTGAAACCAAACCTTAAGATAGGAAAATGAATTAGGTTCACACTTCACAGTATTTATGTAAAAGAAAGATGCTGACGGATCTGATTGCAGTTAAAACCATTTGCTATTGTCATGTTTTTTTCCTGGCAATCCAATATTCAATACGTTAAATCGATTAGCTTTATCTCATTAAATATATACTGCTCGCTTTTTCATAATCTATTTTTAAATGCATAATATTCAATTCAAACGTATAAGTTTTTACGCAAATCACTAACTCCCAAGTGCCACGGTGATTTCTTATACGATCCAATTATGTCGTTGAATATACTGCCCAAAAAGATTCGAGAACATTCAAATACTCGAACAAAATAGTTAAAAAATATTTCACAAGACATTCTTAAAAATTTTAGATTCTTTATTATTGAAATTATACTTCCTTGATGATATGCGGCATATTTTATTTTTCATCATATTTGTTATAATGGATAATGTACGCGCGTTTGCTATATTCGGCTCCCAGTGTTTCAACACAGTCTACTTCCAGCCTGAGTTTTGTCGTAACCTGCATCTCACTATACAAAATCATTGCTTGTGGAGTAGGCTGCAAAGGCGATGTAGCAAATTATCCGCGGTTAAATGCTGTTGTCCATACATCAAAGACCCTTTTCAGGCAGTTCATTTAAACGGAATATTGCTTTCTGCTTGCAGATTTATTACCGACTTTGATCTTTTAATTTGCGGGCAAATTGTATTTAACAATGAACGTGTCTTATTTAACAACGCTTTAGTCTTTTTTGACAGGTGTATGCTTTTCAAATGAGACGTGCGCAAAGTTCGTTAGCATGCAAACACAATTGACTTGTTTCTAAAAGCTTTCGTTAATAGATCAGCGCGCAAAGTTTAATTGATATTAAGAATATGAACTTTTGATTACCGCAGGTGCACATGCAAGTATTTTTCATGCATCAATTAAACGTATTTAGTTCTAAGCAAGATTTAATTTCGAAGGGATCGCCAAATTGCATGTATTTCAAGTTTCCTCTATACTCGCTTTAAGTATAGACCGTATATATTTGGTGCCAAGGGGTAAAACCTGTATTGGTGTAAAGCAAGTTTCGTTTAGGTTCTCCCCTGTAAAAACATTGGATCAATAAGAGTTAAATATGTGACGGTTAGATAGGCAAGTTTCTATTCACCTCACCTGAACTCTGGCTTCGCTGAGGTCCAACCTTACTGCCAATTCTTCCCGCGTGAAGACATCCGGGTATTGCGTTTTTTCAAACGCCCTTTCCAGTTGATGAAGTTGAAACGTCGTGAATGTGGTGCGACTCCGTCGTAATTTTCGCGTCTTTTTTCCGTCCTCCTTGTGAGCGTCTTCCTCGTCAGATAAATCTTCTCCCGATTCCTGACTCTTTGTTGAGCAATCGTCTTTCATTTGAACGTCTGAATAAAGACAACCACTTGGTCAACATATTGTTTAGATTATTCTGTCTAATTATTAGTTGGCAATGATTTAATTCAATAGTTCAGTAGCGTGTGTTTATGGTTCCTTGCAGCGCGCAAAATTAAAGAGGGCAGTTATATTGATTTTGTGAACAGCTAACCTAGATCGTATATGAAAAACATCCTTTGCGAGTTCATCCGTCCATAACATGCGTGAGAGATTCCTCGGTGACAAGCTTTGACACATTCACAAAAAGAAACTAATTATCACATAAGTGCATGTGTATTTTAAAATTGAAAGAAATATTACATGGATTACAATAATTCTTTTTCAAAAGATGGTTGATATGAAGAAGGATAGTAATGCATGCATTTGCAAAAGTGGTTCGATTTCGACTGATGAATCAAGGCTGACGTTCATCTTTCAATTCAGTCTTAAAACCTTTCTCAACTTGTCTTAAAGTTTCACCCATTTTTCACCCCTTCCTGACACGAGTTCTGACCGCTCTTCGCTCTTATGAATCGTTTCTATCAATTCAGTTTGCCGAAAACATTTCGAACTCTCAATAATAAAATATTTCCCACATTTACAGGAAATGCCGCTCTCAAACATACTTTGCAAACTTATAAACCCTCTTAATAAGTTGTATAAACATCTTTTATCTGGAGTATTTACATCTCATGGAACGAGCTGACTTAAAATAGAATGAGTACAATTGTCTGCATGCATGCCGCTACCGAGTTTGAGTAACTTGCATTGACATAGCGGAGGAAACTACCCTTTAACCTACGCGTCCATTCTCGTGAGCAAACAACTAGGATTTTAATTTAATTTGTGAATAGAATTATTAACATAAAGATGACTGTATATACGTGTATAATATAATGTTACTCGTATTTTTCTATATATAATCTAGCTCTTTCACCCATAATTTTTGACTTAAGAACCGCGTGATTACAGGATTGGTATCACCAGTTTTTGGGTGAACTAAATAATTTTATCGCAGCTTTGTTATTCGTTGGTTCAGACACGGACTGCATGCTATTGTCAACGTGTTTGTTCACAAAATGAGACACATAAGCACTATGTATATGTGTGTAATCGGATTGCGTTTTGAACATGTTATTGATTTTATCGGCCACTTTTATTCGTAAACCACAATTAATTACATTGGAATTGCTAATGCTAGCGCTTAATGTTTAATGTTAATGCTCAATATGAGATTAACAGATTAGCTGTTTATGAGTTTACCTTTATATGCGAAATTCAGACTTTTTCTTTCATTTTCCTGGCTAAATACGGCGGCGCTGCTTTTCCCCAAGATCCTGTCAATTGTGAAGGCACTGCCTGAAGTTTGCCCCATAACCTGGACTGATGTGTCGTTGTGTTCGCTCTTCGTCGCCGTACTTTTTCTCACACCTATGAGATGTGTATTCCTGTTTGATTCCATAATAGACCACGAAGCTGTTCGCTTCATGCAGTGATGTGTATATTATGAAATGAGCTGTCGGATTTACGGATAAATACACAAGTCACTCTGATAGCGTAAACTTTGACTCCAATTAAACACCGTGAACTTTTCCAAGGGATAATTTTAGCTCAAAAAGAGGGAGCAGCGTTTGTCACTTTGTCATCTACAGCCTTGTAATTAATGTTTATTATGAAGAACAAAGCTGTATGAATAGTTAGCTGGTTGTCATTGGTTGACTTCCCCATTGGAAATGATTGAGTGTGATCAAAGTTATTATGTCCAGCATAATGACCTGTTTGTTTGAGTTTGAGCAACTCATGAGGCCCCGCTGTTCCCAGAAGAATTACAGGGGAATCTTTATGTTTCGAAATATTGCCTGTTATCCTTACAATTCACATTACTACTAGTTTCCTTATTTGGTTAATTCGCTCTCACAAAAACGGGACGAAATCCTCTCACTTTTGCTGATCATTTGTGTAGTTCTCCCAACGCCTCTCATTCCGTAAGTAATGAATTAATATCTAACTTAATCAAAAATCATGTCAGTAATTAGTCTTTTATGAGAGCTTATTAAGAGCAAGCGGGTTGTCATAGCCACACAGCATTACGTCTATTGTCTTACAAAGTAGATTTTTATTGTGACTAAATGATGATTGAATTTTGCTCATTTGGGTGGCCAACTGTTGCCCAGCACGATGTCCGCGAAACTCGCAATACAAAGTTTATTTCTTTATTAGCGCTCCGCCCAGGTCATGCATATCGTCAATAAAATTCAACGTATTCAGTTGAAGTTTCTCATCGATTTTTCAAGTCGAGAATGCTTGTAATTGAGCAAATATTGATCCATTCAGTGTACCCTCGAAAAGAATTTGTAAACTTTTCCAACCCAAGTAGGGAACGTGAACGAAACCTGCCCATGTGAACGTCGCGAGGGCTAAGTTTATTCCACAATGATTGAGTTGATCTCAGGTCTTCGGTATTCGCGGATATATAGCCTGGGTAAGAGATTCCAGCTTTCACTGGCTTCCAGCTGCGCCCTTACCACTGATCTATATAAACATTTCTGGAATTATGAAATATGTACGAAACATGTTTGTTTGTCGATATAAAATATCTTGACCAGGTTTTTGTCTGGCACGATTAGGGGGAAATTCTAAAGATTTTGGCCAGGTATTAAAATGTGATATCGAAATTGTTGCTACCAGTGCATGTTACCCAAATAATTCTATATACGTTTTTCCCAAAGGGGGACCGTTGCATCGAGGCATTTGGTCCCCCGCACGCTGCTTGTTCCCACTGTAGGCCTTTGCACTAATCCACACGAGGGCCATAGGCTTTCCTTAGTACAGAATGCAGTGTAGCTCAGCCCAGCCCATTCTTTTTCGTTGTATATAGGTTTATCTCAACAGCTAGTTGTTATGATGAACGTGACGAGAATACTGATGAAATAAAAATCAGTTCGAGACTTGCTCGACCAAATTCAAAATGGCGATGCCGATGAAAACCAAGCACGCCTGTGCAGGATTGCTGTGTTGTCAAGCCAAAGTTAAGTATTTTGCTTCCCTGTTAATCTCCGGCCCTTCTGCCAATCGTTTGGTCAGAAAAAACAGTAAACAGTGATAGAATATGGAATGCCCAGCGTTAGCAATTTGCAAATTAATTTCAAAGTCTCCAAGGAAAGGATTAAATGAAATAAAAAACTTTCGTCTTTCACCACCAGCAGCGGTGGCCGAGTGGGTTAAGAGAGTGTTTAGTGTATAGGCGGTGGTTCAAGCTCTTGCAGTGTCAAATTCTTATTTAATTTCAAAGTCTCCAAAGAAAGGATTAAATGAAATAAAAAACTTTCGTCTTTTATCACCAGCATGAGGCCAACTGGGTTAGGACAGTGGTCAGTCCATAGGCGGTGGTACAAGCTCTTGCAGTGTCAAAAAAATAAGTTGCCAATTCTCATTTAATTTCAAAGTCTGGATAAGGTGATAAGTCTAAAAAATTCTAAGTCTTTCACCACCAGCACTGATAGCCGGTGGTAAATCTCTTAGTAAATCGCCCTTGGAAATTTACTGGGAAGACTTTTCTATCTCGTTCGTTGACACACATCAGCGAGATGAGGTCACATCGACGGTCGGTAAATTTCGACCTCAAACAGGACGAGACAACGAATGCTGGCTCAAACCGACCACACAACCAAACTCAAACTAACCGGAACATTCAAATATATCTTTAGCCCGAGTGGACGACGTGAAAATCTCGCTCGTCGGCGAGAGCTTGCCTGTGGAATTCTCGACGGTGAGTCTTCCATCATTCAGTAAACTTCAGATTCCTATCATCTTCAATATTTCATGTTTGCAGTTCCATTGTGTTCTACTTTGCATAATTGTAGGGTCCCACTAAACACTGCCCGAGATGATTGCCCGAGATGATTGCCCGAGATGACTGCCTGAGATGATTTCCCGAGATGACTGCCTGAGATGACTGCCCGAGATGACTGCCTGAGATGATTTCCCGAGATGACTGCCTGAGATGACTGCCGAGATGATTATTGCCCGAGATGACTGCCTGAGATGACTGCCCGAGATGATTTCCCGAGATGACTGCCTGAGATGACTGCCCGAGATGATTGCCTGAGATGACTGCCTGAGATGATTGCCTGAGATGACTGTCTGAGATGATTGCCCGAGATGATTTCCCGAGATGACTGCCTGAGATGACTGCCCGAGATGATTGCCTGAGATGACTGCCTGAGATGATTGCCTGAGATGACTGTCTGAGATGATTGCCCGAGATGACTGCCCGAGATGACTGCCTTAGATGACTGCCTGAGATGACTGCCTGAGATGAATGCCTGAGATGACTGCCTGAGATGACTGCCTGAGATGACTGCCTGAGATAACTGCCTGAGATGACTGCCTGAGATGACTGCCCGAGATGACTGCCCGAGATGACTGCCTTAGATAACTGCCTGAGATGACTGCCTGAGATGACTGCCCGAGATGACTGCCCGAGATGACTGTCAATTTACATCCTGTGGACAAGTGCTGCAAGGCCAACGCCATCCAGAATATGGAGTCCTAATCATTTTGTTCTATTATTGCTAGCCAAGGAACTGCCAACGATGACCTTCCCGGAGCAGAACAAAAGCTATTCGGAGGCATGTCATTTAGTGTTATCAGTTAACTGGACTTTGTGAGAGTTCTCTTGCAAAATGTTTGCCAAGGTAATTATTATAAGAGATCATAAAGGCCTTTTAATGTTTCTCATGGTATACTGATCTGTGTTGTTTTCTGTGATTAAGTGTGATGTTTTTCTTCATGTGGTTTATCACTGAAGCTAAAGAATTGAGATACAACAATCTTTGACTGACTTTAGGTGTAAGACGTTCGCCCAGCTATTGTAGACCGCATGGAATCGATTCAAGTCCTTTAAAAATTTGTGAATCAAGATGAGAATGAACTTAGTGAATCTGTAATTGCTGCTATATGTTTTGGCTAAAATATAAAAAAAACTGTTGTATGTCTCCAAAACAAAGGAGCTTATATTTATGATGCCAAAAAGTACAGGATTGTTTGACATCAGGAGCCGGTTGTTCGTACGGCGTTTAGCTTAAACGATGGATAAGTCAAAATTTAAAAATGCTCTCGTAGATCTTGTGAATGACTGAACCTGCATCTTATGCATTAAATATGTACTTCCATTGAAAATTAAACTATTTACATCGAAATATTTCAGCTCAATTGCCCAATAAATAGATAATTTTGTTTTCCATTTTTAACTTATCCGCCGTTTAAGCTAAACGCCTTTTGAACAACCGGCCCCAGAAATACAAAGAATTCGGCACACAGCGACAATTCAAAAGACAACTTTTTTCTAGGCTTTTAGCGATTCGTTTATAGTAACATCGCTCACGATGATGTTCGGAGTTGATCGGCATGTTGTCGTACATTATCATACCACGTGATCTGCTATGATCACATGGTAATTATCGCCTATAAAACTAATCTCAACGTTAAAAAAAAATTTCTTTAATTAGGTGGCGATCGAAGGTGGACAGCAAGATCGAAGCTCAGCAAGATTGAAGATTGTTCGAGGAAGAAGGAGTTCGCCGTTGACTAAAAGGTGGGTTCCGGCGATTATATGCGTAATCTGCGGTTGCTTTGTCCGACCCCAGTAGGGGGACCGTTTGCCCTGAGCGTTTTGGTCCCCCGCACGCTGCTAGTTCCTACTTGTAGGCCTTTACACTAATCTACGGGAAGGCCGTAGGCCTTCCTTAAGGAGTACAGTGTAGCTGAGCCGAACCTTTTTTTTTCGTTGTATATAGGTTTATCTGAACAGCTAGTTGTCAAGATGAAGGTGACTCGCCCGGCCAAATTCAAAATGGCGATGCCAAAGAAAACCATCCACGTGGACCGTTCGCGGACCTTTCTGAGCAAGATTGTTGTGCTGTCTGGTCAAAGTTAAGTATTTTACTTTGATGTTTGTGTGCCTTCTGCTAATTGTTGGCCAGAAATAACAAAAAGCCATATACAATATGAAATGTTCTGCGTACAAGGTTATCTAAAGTTTCGAGCTTAATTCTGGCTGCAATGATGATAATTTTTTACTGAAAATTTATGTCATGAGCAACTTCCGCACCCATAGACTGAAGCAGAACTTAACATTTTGTCATTAACGTTTATCTCAACAGCCAGTTATCAAGACGAACGTCAAGAGAACAGTTGAAATAGAAAATAGAAATCAGTTCAAGACTCGCCCGGCCGCCGAATTCAAAATGGCGATCCCATCCACGTGGACCGTTCGCGGACCTTTCTGAGCAAGATTGTTGTGCTGTTTGGTCAAAGTTAAGTATTTTACTTCACTGTTTATGTGCCTTTTGCTAAAACTAGACAATAATTAAGATAGTTGAAAATGCAATTTTATATTAATAATGTCTTCTTATATTCAAGATTTTCCTTGCCCTTGGTCAAGAGTGCAACATGAACTGTGGATATGAACTTTACTGTCAGATGAACATTGGAAGTGACAAGATTTCTGCACAGAGGTAATTCGATTGTTCCTTCAAAAGTTATATCAGCCTTGCAGCTGAAAATCTTGTAGTGACCTTGTAATACATATCAACTGCCTGGGTATATATTTTGTTATTTAGTATAAGGGGGAATTTGCTGCAACTAGGATCTTTTTTTGGAAAATCGTCAGGCAGTCACAAATTTTGTTAAGATTAATAAGTTAACATTGCTTCTATGCTCACTATGTGTCACCAGTAATAAATTCCTGTGGTGGTCTTTAAATAAATATAGCAACCATAGTTATATGTGGAGGGATGAAGTATAACCATAGAATACCTGACCAAAAACTAGACAATAATTAAGATAGTTGAAAATAGAATTTTATATTAATCATGTCTTTTTATTTATATATCTATATTCAAGATTTTCCTTGGTCAAGAGTGCAACATGAGCTGTGGATATGAACTTTACTGTCAGATGAACATTGGAAATGACAAGATTTCTGCGCAAAGGTAATTCGATTGTCCTTCAAAAGTTATATTAGCCTTGCAGCTGAAATTCTTGTAGTGACCTTGTAATACATATCAACTGCCCGGGTATATATTTTGTTATTTAGTATAAGGGGGAATTTGCTGCAACTAGGATCTTTTTTTGGAAAATCGTCAGGCAGTCACAAATTTTGTTAAGATTACTAAGTTAACATTGCTTCTATGCTCACTATATGTCACCAGTAATAAATTCCTGTGGTGGTCTTTAAATAAATATAGCAACCATAGTCATATGTAGAGGGATGAAGTATATATATAACCATAGAATACCTGACCAAAAACTAGACAATAATTAAGATAGTTGAAAATGGAATTTTATATTAATCATGTCTTATTTATATATCTATATTCAAGATTTTTCTTGGTCAAGAGTGCAACTTGAGCTGTGGATATGAACTTTACTGTCAGATAAACATTGAAAGTGACAAGATTTCTGCACAGAGGTAATTCAATTGTTCCTTCAAAAGTTATATTAGCCTTGCAGCTGAAATTCTTGCAGTGACCTTGTCATACATATCAACTGCCCAGGTATATATTTTGTTATTTAGTGTAAGGGGGAATTTGCTGCAACTAGGATCTTTTTTTTGGAAAATCGTCAGGCAGTCACAAATTTTGTTAAGATTACTAAGTTAACATTGCTTCTATGCTCACTATGTGTCACCAGTAATAAATTCCTGGGGTACGGTCTTTAAATAAATATAGCAACCATAGTTATATGTAGAGGGATGAAGTATAACCATAAAATACCTGACCAAAAACTAGACAATAGTTAAGATAGTTGAAAATGGAATTTTATATTAATCATGTCTTATTTATATATCTATATTCAAGATTTTTCTTGGTCAAGAGTGCAACATATGAGCTGTGGATATGAACTTTACTGTCAGGTGAACATTGAAAGTGACAAGATTTCTGCACAGAGGTAATTCAATTGTTCCTTCAAAAGTTATATTAGCCTTGCAGCTGAAATTCTTGCAGTGACCTTGTCATACATATCAACTGCCCAGGTATATATTTTGTTATTTAGTGTAAGGGGGAATTTGCTGCAACTAGGATCTTTTTTTTGGAAAATCGTCAGGCAGTCACAAATTTTGTTAAGATTACTAAGTTAACATTGCTTCTATGCTCACTATGTGTCACCAGTAATAAATTCCTGGGGTACGGTCTTTAAATAAATATAGCAACCATAGTTATATGTAGAGGGATGAAGTATAACCATAAAATACCTGACCAAAAACTAGACAATAGTTAAGATAGTTGAAAATGGAATTTTATATTAATCATGTCTTATTTATATATCTATATTCAAGATTTTTCTTGGTCAAGAGTGCAACATATGAGCTGTGGATATGAACTTTACTGTCAGGTGAACATTGGAAGTGACAAGATTTCTGCACAGAGGTAATTTCATTTTGTCATGGATGGTCAGCATTTGATTTTAAAAAGCCACTACATTGTTGAGATGACAACTATGAAATTGAAATTTGCTTCTATGGTCACCATGTGTGAAACCAATGATGAAACTTAATGCTATAACAGCTGAACCAGTCTGGCTGATTACTAAAATTCCTGTGGTGGTCTTACAATAAATATCCACGAAAAAGTGTGAGAACTTGGGAGAAATTTTTCTGATTTCCCTGTGATTTATATTCTGTAGTACTCAGAAGGGTGATACCCAGTTTTTCTGTGTTCAAATTAAATAGTGACATATGTCTGGGTTGAATATATGCATGTGACACATTCTTTTTATTGAAAATGGCAAAAATATAATTGGCATAAAACAGATGATTAAAGTAAGATAATGAGTAATATCTTTTAATAATGATGTCAGGTTGAAAATACAAACTTTGCTGCCACTTTTTGCCTAAAAGGATTGATGAAATGCTTTTTCTCTTTAGAATGAATGAAGTTTAAGAAAGTTGAAAGGCACCCCTGAAGAACCTGAATTATTTTAGCCCTATCCTAGATTCATTAATTAATATATTTTAGTGTGTGATAACATGTGTGAAATGTGATCAATTATGTGACAATCTTCAAAACTTGGATTTATAAAGAGAAATTTTTCTTTGTAAAGCTTAAGAAGTAAACTTTTTTGTCTGGTGGTGTTACTGTTTTGATTTTGCATGTTTTTCCGTGTGCTTTCACAATTGAAAAGATTTTGGCAGTTGCTTCTAAATGTTTTTTGAAAAGTTTAAGAAGAAACTTGATTTTTGTCTTGTGGTGTTTGTTGTTTCGATTTTACATGTTTTTCCGTGTGCTTTCACAATTGAAAAGATTTTGGCAGTTGCTTCTAAATGTTTTTTGAAAAGTTTAAGAAGAAACTTGATTTTTGTCTTGTGGTGTTTGTTGTTTTGATTTTGCATGTTTTTCCTTGTGCTTTCACAATTCAAAAGATTTTGACAGTTGCTTTGGCTTTTTCTTATACTTCTTTTCTCTTTAATTTCTTCTTAGTATTAGCCATTTTTAGCATTTTAAGACACTTTTTGAACAGTTGAAAAAGTCGTCAAAATTGACCAAAATGGTAAGGGGTAAGCCTTACCATTTTGGTCAATTTTGACGACTTTTTCAATGTTCCAAATATGCTCTAAAATGAAAGATATTAGTCTTAGGAAGCCATTTTTAGCATTTTAAGACACTTTTTGAACAGTTGAAAAAGTCGTCAAAATTGACCAAAATGGTAAGGGGTAAGCCTTACCATTTTGGTCAATTTTGACGACTTTTTCAATGTTCCAAATATGCTCTAAAACAAAGATATTAGTGTTAGGAAGCCATTTTTAGCATTTTAAGACACTTTTTGAACAGTTGAAAAAGTCGTCAAAATTGACCAAAATGGTAAGGGGTAAGCCTTACCATTTTGGTCAATTTTGACGACTTTTTCAATGTTCCAAATATGCTCTAAAACAAAGATATTAGTGTTAGGAAGCCATTTTTAGCATTTTAAGACACTTTTTGAACAGTTGAAAAAGTCGTCAAAATTGACCAAAATGGTAAGGGGTAAGCCTTACCATTTTGGTCAATTTTGACGACTTTTTCAATGTTCCCAAATATGCTCTAAAACGAAAGATATTAGTGTTAGGAAGCCATTTTTAGCATTTTAAGACACTTTTTGAACAGTTGAAAAAGTCGTCAAAATTGACCAAAATGGTAAGGGGTAAGCCTTACCATTTTGGTCATTTTGACGACTTTTTCAATGTTCCAAATATGCTCTAAAGCGAAAGATATTAGTGTTAGGAAGCCATTTTTAGCATTTTAAGACACTTTTGAACAGTTGAAAAAGTCGTCAAAATTGACCAAAATGGTAAGGGTAAGCCTTACCATTTTGGTCATTTTGACGACTTTTTCAATGTTCCAAATATGCTCTAAAGCGAAAGATATTAGTGTTAGGAAGCCATTTTTAGCATTTTAAGACACTTTTTGAACAGTTGAAAAAGTCGTCAAAATTGACCAAAATGGTAAGGGGTAAGCCTTACCATTTTGGTCAATTTTGACGACTTTTTCAATGTTCCAAATATGCTCTAAAGCGAAAGATATTAGTGTTAGGAAGCCATTTTTAGCATTTTAAGACACTTTTTGAACAGTTGAAAAGTCGTCAAAATTGACCAAAATGGTAAGGGGTAAGCCTTACCATTTTGGTCAATTTTGACGACTTTTTCAATGTTCCAAATATGCTCTAAAGCGAAAGATATTAGTGTTAGGAAGCCATTTTTAGCATTTTAAGACACTTTTTGAACAGTTGAAAAAGTCGTCAAAATTGACCAAAATGGTAAGGGGTAAGCCTTACCATTTTGGTCAATTTGACGACTTTTTCAATGTTCCAAATATGCTCTAAAGCGAAAGATATTAGTGTTAGGAAGCCATTTTTAGCATTTTAAGACACTTTTTGAACAGTTGAAAAAGTCGTCAAAATTGACCAAAATGGTAAGGGGTAAGCCTTACCATTTTGGTCAATTTTGACGACTTTTTCAATGTTCCAAATATGCTCTAAAGCGAAAGATATTAGTGTTAGGAAGCCATTTTTAGCATTTTAAGACACTTTTTGAACAGTTGAAAAAGTCGTCAAAATTGACCAAAATGGTAAGGGGTAAGCCTTACCATTTTGGTCAATTTTGACGACTTTTTCAATGTTCCAAATATGCTCTAAAGCGAAAGATATTAGTGTTAGGAAGCCATTTTTAGCATTTTAAGACACTTTTTGAACAGTTGAAAAAGTCGTCAAAATTGACCAAAATGGTAAGGGGTAAGCCTTACCATTTTGGTCAATTTTGACGACTTTTTCAATGTTCCAAATATGCTCTAAAGCGAAAGATATTAGTGTTAGGAAGCCATTTTAGCATTTTAAGACACTTTTTGAACAGTTGAAAAAGTCGTCAAAATTGACCAAAATGGTAAGGGGTAAGCCTTACCATTTTGGTCAATTTGACGACTTTTTCAATGTTCCAAATATGCTCTAAAGCGAAAGATATTAGTGTTAGGAAGCCATTTTTAGCATTTTAAGACACTTTTTGAACAGTTGAAAAAGTCGTCAAAATTGACCAAAATGGTAAGGGGTAAGCCTTACCATTTTGGTCAATTTTGACGACTTTTTCAATGTTCCAAATATGCTCTAAAGCGAAAGATATTAGTGTTAGGAAGCCATTTTTAGCATTTTAAGACACTTTTTGAACAGTTGAAAAAGTCGTCAAAATTGACCAAAATGGTAAGGGGTAAGCCTTACCATTTTGGTCAATTTTGACGACTTTTTCAATGTTCCAAATATGCTCTAAAGCGAAAGATATTAGTGTTAGGAAGCCATTTTTAGCATTTTAAGACACTTTTTGAACAGTTGAAAAAGTCGTCAAAATTGACCAAAATGGTAAGGGGTAAGCCTTACCATTTTGGTCAATTTTGACGACTTTTTCAATGTTCCAAATATGCTCTAAAGCGAAAGATATTAGTGTTAGGAAGCCATTTTTAGCATTTTAAGACACTTTTTGAACAGTTGAAAAAGTCGTCAAAATTGACCAAAATGGTAAGGGGTAAGCCTTACCATTTTGGTCAATTTTGACGACTTTTTCAATGTTCCAAATATGCTCTAAAGCGAAAGATATTAGTGTTAGGAAGCCATTTTTAGCATTTTAAGACACTTTTTGAACAGTTGAAAAAGTCGTCAAAATTGACCAAAATGGTAAGGGGTAAGCCTTACCATTTTGGTCAATTTTGACGACTTTTTCAATGTTCCAAATATGCTCTAAAGCGAAAGATATTAGTGTTAGGAAGCCATTTTTAGCATTTTAAGACACTTTTGAACAGTTGAAAAAGTCGTCAAAATTGACCAAAATGGTAAGGGGTAAGCCTTACCATTTTGGTCAATTTTGACGACTTTTTCAATGTTCCAAATATGCTCTAAAGCGAAAGATATTAGTGTTAGGAAGCCATTTTTAGCATTTTAAGACACTTTTTGAACAGTTGAAAAAGTCGTCAAAATTGACCAAAATGGTAAGGGGTAAGCCTTACCATTTTGGTCAATTTTGACGACTTTTTCAATGTTCCAAATATGCTCTAAAGCGAAAGATATTAGTGTTAGGAAGCCATTTTTAGCATTTTAAGACACTTTTTGAACAGTTGAAAAAGTCGTCAAAATTGACCAAAATGGTAAGGGGTAAGCCTTACCATTTTGGTCAATTTTGACGACTTTTTCAATGTTCCAAATATGCTCTAAAGCGAAAGATATTAGTGTTAGGAAGCCATTTTTAGCATTTTAAGACACTTTTTGAACAGTTGAAAAAGTCGTCAAAATTGACCAAAATGGTAAGGGGTAAGCCTTACCATTTTGGTCAATTTGACGACTTTTTCAATGTTCCAAATATGCTCTAAAGCGAAAGATATTAGTGTTAGGAAGCCATTTTTAGCATTTTAAGACACTTTTGAACAGTTGAAAAAGTCGTCAAAATTGACCAAAATGGTAAGGGGTAAGCCTTACCATTTTGGTCAATTTTGACGACTTTTTCAATGTTCCAAATATGCTCTAAAGCGAAAGATATTAGTGTTAGGAAGCCATTTTTAGCATTTTAAGACACTTTTTGAACAGTTGAAAAAGTCGTCAAAATTGACCAAAATGGTAAGGGGTAAGCCTTACCATTTTGGTCAATTTTGACGACTTTTTCAATGTTCCAAATATGCTCTAAAGCGAAAGATATTAGTGTTAGGAAGCCATTTTTAGCATTTTAAGACACTTTTTGAACAGTTGAAAAAGTCGTCAAAATTGACCAAAATGGTAAGGGTAAGCCTTACCATTTTGGTCAATTTTGACGACTTTTTCAATGTTCCAAATATGCTCTAAAGCGAAAGATATTAGTGTTAGGAAGCCATTTTTAGCATTTTAAGACACTTTTGAACAGTTGAAAAAGTCGTCAAAATTGACCAAAATGGTAAGGGGTAAGCCTTACCATTTTGGTCAATTATGACGACTTTTTCAATGTTCCAAATATGCTCTAAATGAAAGATATTAGTGTTAGGAAGCCATTTTTAGCATTTTAAGACACTTTTGAACAGTTGAAAAAGTCGTCAAAATTGACCAAAATGGTAAGGGGTAAGCCTTACCATTTTGGTCAATTATGACGACTTTTTCAATGTTCCAAATATGCTCTAAAATGAAAGATATTAGTGTTAGGAAGCCATTTTTAGCATTTTAAGACACTTTTGAACAGTTGAAAAAGTCGTCAAAATTGACCAAAATGGTAAGGGGTAAGCCTTACCATTTTGGTCAATTATGACGACTTTTTCAATGTTCCAAATATGCTCTAAAATGAAAGATATTAGTGTTAGGAAGCCATTTTTAGCATTTTAAGACACTTTTGAACAGTTGAAAAAGTCGTCAAAATTGACCAAAATGGTAAGGGGTAAGCCTTACCATTTTGGTCAATTTTGACGACTTTTTCAATGTTCCAAATATGCTCTAAAGCGAAAGATATTAGTGTTAGGAAGCCATTTTTAGCATTTTAAGACACTTTTTGAACATTGAAAAAGTCGTCAAAATTGACCAAAATGGTAAGGGGTAAGCCTTACCATTTTGGTCAATTATGACGACTTTTTCAATGTTCCAAATATGCTCTAAAGCGAAAGATATTAGTGTTAGGAAGCCATTTTTAGCATTTTAAGACACTTTTTGAACAGTTGAAAAAGTCGTCAAAATTGACCAAAATGGTAA